AAGTAAGGTGTCCCCCGACAAACTAAGCCTATATCAGCAAAACTAGGGGCTGAATCTAATCAGCCCTAACTATAAGCTTTATCAAAAAGGAAGGTCTTAAGCGCACTCTTAAAAACGGATAGGGTATCTGCCGCTCGAACACAAACTGGAAGCTGATTCCACAAATGTGGAGCTTGATAAGAAAAGGCTCTGGCTCCCATTGTACTTTTAGAGACTCTAGGAACAACCAACAACCCTGCATTCTTGGAGCGCAATGCCCTAGTAGGACAGTAGGGTATAATGAGTTCTTTAAAGAGCTTACGAAATGCTATTATCACCTGTTAGTGGGCTTGGTATATGATAGAGATTGCATTTGTATTGTGAAATGTGCCATAAGATTTTTTTATTATTGATGTATTTTTGAATAAATCACGATTATAACAGCATACAAATGTTGTCAGTTAGTAACAATCGTTCGTCGCGCTGGAAAGAACAACTTGGTCATTTCCGGCGGTGACGTCAAGAGTAGAACACAGCTGAGTAGAACACAGCTGAGTCGCCATTAGTAGTAATACACATGCTGCATCAATCTCATTAGTATGCATACAAAAGTGACAGGTCACACCTCTACTACTTATGCAAATGAGCTAAGTCCCGCCTCCCATTTGGTCGAGGTGTGATATCCCAAGTAGGTGTGATTTCCCAAGTAGGTGTGAGATCCGTCGATAGGAGGGGGTGATGTGTATTCACAGGTGTGAAATGCCCCCACTGTTGCGCCTTATTGTGCCTAATAAAAAATATATATATAATAAAATGCTGCTTCAATCACATTAGTATGCATAGAAACTGACAGGTGGGCCCGCCCCCAAGTGTGTGTGTGTGTGTGTGTGTGTGTGTGTGTGTGTGTCTTCCCCTAACCCAGCGTTTCTCAAAGTGTGGGGCGCGCCCCACTGGTGGGGCGCAGAGATGTGATAGGTGGGTCGCGAATGGACGCGATGAACGGGAGATTTTTTTTTTTTATTTAAAAAAAAAAAGTTTGGACCTCAGGCCGGAATCGAACCTGGGTCCTCGCGGGCGGTAGTGGATTATTACAGCCTGTCAGGGACCAAGCAGTAAGACAACAGGACACAGGAGTGGTTTAAATAAACTAGGGTTTTTATTTACCCAAAAATCCACAAAACATCATATAATAGCAAGGCCTATAAAAGAGGTCAACAGAAAATACCTCAAAGAAACATAACAGGTGTTAACTCAACAAAATGGACCTCCTACAATGAAAAACCAAGGAACCTATATAGCGGCTTGGCCAAACCACGTTGAACCCAAAGGATAATTAATAGTCACATCATACACAAAGGACACTGACAAAACCCAAATCCCCCCTTTGACATGGAAGCAGGTGGTTTGTCCCAATCTGTCCCAATTGGCACCTTGCAGTATTTATGAGTCCTCAGCGCTCGGCCACACCCTTTGCTGAACCAGGAAGTAACCTCCCCCAATGAACATGGTAACATTTAGAGCAGGGGTGCCCAACCAGTCGATCGCGAGATGTGTCTAAAAATAGAACAACAATATTCGGTTTTATCGTTAATGTCCTATGACATAATCTTCCTGTGCCAGCATAATGCACTTGACGCATCAAAGCTTTGTGATTGGCCGGCGTGACCCCATGTGTCGGGGCGTGGCTGGTGGGCAGTGGGCACTATTTCGCTGACGTTGTCCGTGTCAACAGGAGTGACAGTCCGCACACACACAAGACCGCAATTATGGCAGAAGCAAAAGAGCCCAAAATATATAATTTTCACTCCGAGTGGGAGGATGATTATTTTTGTATCTATTCCAATTCAAAGTCCATCTGTCTCATCTGCAATGCGAGCGTGGCTTTATCGAAGAAGAGTAATTTAGGAGCACAAACGCTACGAGACGGAATTCCCTCCTAATTCTGCCCTACGCTCCCAAAAGGGGAGGGGCCTGAAAGGACAGCTAAATGCACAGCAGTCCATTTTCACCAGGCCCAACAACAAGAGCAAGGCTGCTACCATAGCATCTTATTGTGTCAGTCACGTTCTTGAGAAACACATGAAGTCTTTCAAAGACGGCGAAGTTGTGAAAGAAGCATTCCTGGAGGCTGCCGATGCGCCGATGGGGACAGTAAAAAATAACAGAAGCATTTCAACAGGTTTTTGATATAATAAAAACTAAAGTTAGATACCGTTATTAATCAGCTGTAAGTTTGAACTTATTCATTATAATTATTGTACAAAATGGTATAAGAATGCAAAGTTAAATTGATTATAGTCTATTATCAATTCAGGTTAAGAAACTAGAGTTGCTTGCATCCTATTTTAAAGGCATTTATTTTTATAATCTACTAAAATGCAACAAAAAAAGGGTTTGATTCTATACATTTTTTAGATCATCTTTTTTATTACACTTTGGCAGCAGATTCCGATGTAGCTTCAGATCTGAGTTGTCTTATTAGTAAGCCTAATGTATACTTTTGTAGCAACACTATTTTTATATAATGGCAAAGAAAGGGTTCAGTCTTTTCTTTTTGTCCTGTGTCATATGTGGCAGCACTGTTCAATGGTTCTTGAAAACATTACCCACTGTAGTATGTGACGTGTGAATAAACTCCAACTCTGTATCAACAACACTGTTGTGTAACTTCAGTTGAATACTTGTATGTGTGTAGATTAGAAAGAGGTAAGATAAAGGATCTGCAGGATTTTATGAAGTATTAATTGTAAAAAGGTCAGTTTTATACAAGTAGAAGTGTGTATTTATACCTGGTTGTAGTCTGTCAGTAATGGCTACGCCTCTCTATTTGGACTGGTAGATCTCGGCAGACTGGCAACTTTAAAAGTAGCTCTCGGTTCAGCTGGGAAGAGACCAAGGGGTAGACCTAGGACCAGGTGGAGGGATTATATCTCTTCGCTGGCCTGGGAGCGCCTTGGGATCCCCCAGTCAGAGCTGGTTGATGTGGCCAGGGAAAAGAAAGTTTGGGGCTCTCTGCTGGAACTGCTACCCCGCGACCCGACCACGGATAAGCGGGAGAAGATGGATGGATGGACCCCTGATTTAGAGCAAATGTGTGGTGTTAATTGGCATGTTTTATTGTAGCTGCACTGGAGCAAAACTACTGAAGATGAGGATGCAGTGTAGTTGGTTTACCCTGTGTGGCTGTGGCCATCACACAGCCGGAGACTCGCAACGGCGGTGGACTTTCACAGCACCGCAGCCGCCAGAGCCTCACAACGGCAGGTGTTTGTGAAAGTCCACGGCCCACCTATGCCAGAGCCAGCGGCCCACCAACGGCAGCGGCCCAACGGGAAAAGTCCAGAATCTCCCGATGGCCAATCCGAGCCTGCTCACACACACACAACTGAAACCAAAGTCATTTGCAGACATATGTAAAAATCTCTCATACACACATGTGAAAGAGAGAGAGAACACACCTTTATCTATTTAATATAGCCTAGTTGTACAAAATAAAGTGAGAAATCATTCCAATGTGTACTATAGGACAGTAAACAGTTTAAAAGGGGAGTGATTAGTAAAATATGCACAAATAAAAAGAAAGAATGCTATATAGGTAACATAAGATAAGAATACACAAGTTTAAATGATTTGTTATTGGTTGTGATCATATTCTAAAGATGTTTGGATTATTGAAAAGTATACAGCTCCCTTTCATAGAGGGTTGAGAGCTGTATCCATAAATTCATTTTGTGCTCAAAGTGCACCAGATTGATGCTTTTAACTTCAACATTTTAAAAAAAATCATACATTTTCTTTTCAGTGAAAACGGGTCCCACAGACCCAAACAGCACACAAAGGTTAAAGGTAAGCATATAATAATGTTAAAATGGGCTAAATATATACACTGCAAAAAAACATTTTTTTTCCTGCATTTTGAGCTTGGCCTACCATTTTATTGGAGCGGCGAGGAACAGGTGGGGCTTAAAAAGGCCCACCTGTTCAAAGTGGGGAATGCCAGAAAAAGTTTGAGAACCACTGCCCTAACCCCTGCTGTGGACCGGGGCTACATACAATCTTATTTTAGCCCCTAAAGAAAAGCCCCCCATAAACATAATAATTAAAAAATAGTATTGATGTATGTTACCACTTTCCTTCTTCATCAGACAGCCCTTTCTAACGGGAATCTAAGCTAAAATCTTCTATCGTTTCAAAGCCTCTTTCCTTCTGTGGTGATGCATGTATAGACGGCGTGTGTGATATGTCTACCTGGGTTTATAAGGAGATCTAATTTCTACAGCAAGAGAAAGGTGATGATGAACCATCCTGGCATTTATTTTCTGCGTTTTCCCGACCTGGATCTGATCCTGAAAAACTATGGTAAGTACTTCATATAATTATTAAATGTTGTATGTTGTGTGTTAAACAACCTCTGTGTATATATTGTATTTATTGTGTATTAGCACTATGATTCATAATGGTTTTTAAGTTTTTGGGGAGACTGTTAACTAATGTTGAAGTACTTTAGTTTATAAAGGGATGGAGTCTCACACAGTGTCTGTGAAGGTGTGTGTGTATGTGTGTGTGTGTGTGACTGTGTGATCCTGTCCTCCTCCCCCTTCCTGCCATCTTATCAGTAGAGAGAGGGGGGATGGAATTTAAAAACAGTTACCTTACACTTGTATTGTTCCCTCTAAAACACATTGTCAGTAAAGTTGGGGGAGACTGTCTTTGGGAAAGTACCCCTCTATGTACAAATAATGTGGTGTAGATTTTTAATCAAATCTTTTTTGTGTGTGTCTCAGTTCAGGAAAGTCTGAACCAAATACGAATTGGAATATTAGAGAGGCTTAACTCTTTTGGTGGAACCCCATATGATTCATTCCCTGTGGAAAGTGAGTAAATATGTATTTAAAACTGTATGTGTTTGTATCTAGCTTATTTTTAAAATCAAATATGTTTTTTTTTTTGCTGATGTGTAAAATATCCAAAATAACCATCTGTATTGGTGTGCCGTATCAACTCCGGATGGAAATGGAGAAATGATTGCTGAAAAATGGCTGTCCCTCAACAACCACATTATAAACATTCACACCAAACAGGGCAGAGTGTTCGAGAAATGTGCCCATGGTCGGCTGCCTGCAGCTCAGAACCGCAAGAAAAAATGGCTCAAAGCAGGTAATAATATTTTCTACGACAATGGACAACACATCACATTTTGTGTTGGAATGTTTTTGTGTCTTCAGTAAAGAAAAATGATATGCAGTGAAGAACTAATATTTTTTCTATTATCGTGTATCCTATATCCTTTTTTGATTGTGTATTTTCAGATTCAGTGCCAGCACTAAAGCTGAAAAAAGTTGTCAGCCAGATAGCTTTTGTCAGAGATGTCAAGAAGATGTCACCTTCACAGCAAACCTACGGGGTGGAAGTATACCACAGTATAGTCAACCAGTTTGCCCCAAAGATGTATGCATACTTGTACACTGGCATGTATTGCAGGTAAAGTATAATATGAATCTCATCAGAAAATACTAGAGACTTCAACTTTATTTGCTTATTTATCTATTTGCCAAGTGTGCCTGCTACATTATCTCTCTCTCTTTCTCTCTCTATACAATACAATACATGTATTTATTTTGTAGGTTGATCCTAGCAGCACTGCACTACAATGAGAACTCTGGCAGGAAGCATGCCAAAACCAGTACAGGACAACTCCAATACACTGTGAAATTCCCCAAAGCAAAGAAAGGTGGTCATGTAGTTAGACGTGTGAATACAGCAGCTACATATGGTAAGAAAGTGAAAGTGAGAGTATAATAACATTAATTATACCGTTTTACCAAATTAATGAAAAATATTCAATCTTGGACAACATTATTGTCAGTTTCAACTACAATGATTAATTATGAAAAGTGCCTCAGGGCATGCTATGCATAATTTGGGCACTAGAAAATATAGTATATAATTCTTGATTATAAAACATATTTTTTGCAGAGTATGTTACCGAACTCTTGACCGAGACTCTACGCTTGTGCGAAAACAATGTCGATGAGGAAGCTTTCGATGTCCCAGATCCACTCAGCAGTCGGTGGGAAAAACCAGACAAGAGAGAGGCTGTTGTGCTGTTTAGAAGCAGATTTAATCACTGAACTGACAATCAGTTTTGTTATTGACTCTAATCAAGTGCTGGATACTTGAACGACGTGTATATGTCAGATGGAAACGTCGCCTGGATCTTTTTAATGGTACATGATGGCAGTGGGATTCTGTGGTTCTTACCAAGTATTCCCCAGCAAAATCTCACTAGCTGGCGGTATGCCACATAGCGATACATTCTGTAAAATACAAGATCATAAATGTCAATGGTCATCACTTCAACCTTATTTGCTTATTTATCTATTTATTCTGTAACTTTGCCAGAGTGACCATTAGACTTCCCAAAAATACATCAACGTTTCTGAGCTCTACACATTTGTGAACACAAGTAACTTACTTACGTGGTTGATCACCTGCTTGTTGTCTGTCCCTCTTTGAATAATGATGGTAGGCTGTCTGCAACACCCAAACATCCAGACAATTTGATTGGAATCCTGGGTGATCTATTACGCAGGTTATGTTTGCACCATCTCCCTCATATTCATTGAATTCCTCCATTTTGGCCATCATGAAATTCTTTTCTTGGCAGCATTGGCACTCTTCAATTGTTTCCATGATTGTACATTTTTCAAAAAATAGTTGAGAAATAATTGCATTTTTAGGAGGAGACCTACTTCTGTGGTGAGTTCCAAGCCTAGCAGAGTGTGATGCAGTTACCTGAGCCAAGTGTCTATGAATTATAATCAAATGTATACCAGTCTGTGTTCTGTTGCCTGAGCCAAGTCTGCCTACTATGTATTATTATTTATTTACTATATATGAACCAGTGGTTGCGTTAGACTTTTTCGTTGTCCGTCATTTTGACGGACAGGATTATAAAATTTCCCTTCATAATCCATTATTACCCGTCATTTTATTTTCATGTTTTAATGATGAGACATATTTAATATTTATGTTTGGGTACTAAGCAGCAAATGTTCATTCATTCCTTTTTTTATGGTTCATACAGAACTTTTAAGGGCATGGAGAAAAACCGAGACACCGACCGTGCGTTCACTTTTCATGTCAAAACGAATATGAATGATTTATTTTTCCTTGCCACTTGCTTGCCCCTCTGCTGCTGGCTGAACGTTGTCAATTTTAGTCTTACTGGCTAGTCCTTCATCCTCCACTGCATCAATCCCTCTTTTTTCACCTCGTTTATCCACACCATCACAATTACTGGGCTTATTAAAAAAGCTTCGGACATTTTGCGATTGCTAAAGCCGGTTAAACAACGAGGTAATCAACAAGGTCAAATACCAGACTAGACAATAGCTACTTAATATACACACACTCGCCACCAACTGGACAGGGGTGTGAATGACTAAATAATAGTTACAGTAGAGTAGCTACAGTAGATCACCCTCAGTCTACCTGGCCACTAAGGATGTAATATAATGTGGGCCGCTGGTGGACATTTTGGTGCTGTTCCGAGTTGTGTTCTAATCTGTCAAAAATGACGGACTGCTTTCAGATTTTTCCGTCATTCTTGGAAAAATTCCGTCATAGACGGAAAATATTCGGTTAACGCGACCTCTGATATGAACATCTCTATGAATTATAATTAAATGTATACCAGTCTGAGTTCTGTTGCCTGAGCCAAGTGTGCCTGCTATTTATTATTATTTATTTACTATTTATTGAGAATCTCTATGAATTAAAGTCAAATGTATATACCAGTCTGTGTTCTGTTGCCGCACCGGATCTCCGCCAAATCCAGGATCATCATCCCCATGTTCGCTCCCGTCTGTATCTCTACCGCTACTTGAATACTGTGGCTCAAACTGGTATGGTTCCACCACGTTAGACTCGCCCGCATGATCTGATTCCACCACACCGGCATCCTCTTCAATAAAATCCTCCTCTTCTTGAAAGTGCACCGAGTCTATTGACGACTCACTGTCACTCGATTCTGTCGAAATATCCGAGCCAGAATCCGACATCAGCCATATAGTTTGTGTATTATTCAACAAGTGTTCGACTCGTGACGTACCGTGATGTGCGTGACGTCACTAACCGGCGAAAGCTGTTTGGTCCGGAGCGGTCGTGTAACATCGGTAGCGAGCATGGAAAGTTGAAATTGATTTTCTGTGGGCGTTAAAGGATAAATCCTGATCAAATATAACACCAAGATTCCTTACAGTCTCACTGGAGGCCAAATTAATGCCATCCATAGTTAGTATATCTTTAGATAATTTGTTTAGTAGATTCTTTGGGCCGAGTACAATAACTTCAGTTTTGGCCGTGTTTAACATCAAAAAGTTTAAAGTCATCCATGTTTTTAAGTCCTTGAGGCAGTCTTGAATTTTATTTAGATGATTAATTTCATCAGGCTTGATTGATAAATATAGTTGAGTATCATCCTCATAACAATGAAAATGTACAGAATCATTCCTTATAATATTGCCTAACGGAAGCATATTTAATGTGAACAAAATAGGTCCAAGCACTGAGCCCTGTGGCACTCCATGGCTAACTTTGGTTTGCATGGAAGATTCATCGTTGACACATACAAACTGAGAGCGTTCAGATAGATAGGACCTAAACCAGCCTAAAGCGGTTCCCTTTTATTCCAACTAAGTGCTCCAGTCCTTCATGCCATCATCATCCTCAAGATTAATGTGAGCTGCCTGTAGAGCCTCCCAAGTGTCAGTGAGTGCATTGCACAGAGTGTTGAGGTACTCCTTTATGTTCTCTGATAATTCCTCATGCTCCAGAATATTTGTCAACGTTGCTGGATCAGAACCTCTCTCCAGAGCAGGATGCAGTGCACGCCCCGCCTGTAGTGCTTCCCTCGTAGTGCTTGTTCAACAGACTCCTCCATTATTACCCCTGCTGTGACCAGAGTGTCTGCCATGCCAGATCCCTTAAATCTCTTGTAGATAGCATAGATGTAGGACATCTGCTGATGAGAATTCAGAATTGGGATGAGGCCCTTGTACATTTCCGAATTCTCCGCCTTCAACTGAACTATTGTCTTGTAGGTGGGCAAGTCACCAATGAGAAAAGAGAAGGGAATATTCTTCTTGCGCATGGCTTCCACTAGTTTCACCATAATGTCATACACCACTGACTTGCTTGGAGGTTCATTGTAGGTTGTGTGGTAGTAAGGCAGTGGTTCTCAAAGTGGGGGGCGCGACCCCCCTGGGGGGTGCAGAGCATAGCCGCGGGAAGTCATTTTGCTCAGGGGGTGCTGCCAAAAGTGGGGAGGTAGCCGCTTAAAAAAAAAAAAAAAAAGGCGGTGCCGGGCCGGGCCCAGCTGTCAGCGATACGAGCCGCATACATTGTTTGTTAAAGGCGAGACACGGCAGGCAAAAACATCGTTTTTCATGCACTGGTCAATTTTGAGATGTTGTGCTATTTTGATTCCATAACATGTTTTCTTTCAGGCTTTTGGAAGTAAAACGTACAAAATACACATTTAAAATGTTCATTTTACTATAGTTTGTCTATTTGCGTCTGTATATTTCTCCTAAATTCACCAAAAGTTAGCATTCTAATGTAACATAAAGTACCGCGACCGCTGTTTGCACAATGTCATCGTTGGAAAGCTCCGTCTCTCCTGCACAATCTCATCGGATCCAAATATGGTCATTTCCTTTGTATCAGCAACCAATCGTGAAAGTACAAAAGGGTCTTAAACCAAGAAACGAAATCTCATTGGCTGGTGTCAACTTCTGACAACGTGATTCGTTCAGATGCGTCACGTGATGTGCTAAAACACTTCCTGGTTAGCTTTCCGCTAGAAATTTAGATCTCAAAATGGCAAAAAAACGGCGAAAAAAACGTTCACAGAGAAGACAACAACAATTGTCACTTGCACGAAGCAAGGTTATACAAAAAACAAATGACCCCGAACATGAAATACCTTCACGGAGTGCGTCGATGCGCAAGCTGTCATCCAACGAACAGGAGGGTTTAGCTAGCGCCTCACTGCAATCTTTAAAGGTCGTTTTCTCAAAATGAGTTTTTTCTCCTACTCTGAGTTCGAAATGTCCACTTCAGTTGCACTTACATACACCAAACCTTCCAGTTATATTCCTATCAATATTATGAAGGCTTTTACAGAAGGGTTTGTTCATATATCATTCATAGCCTGAATTATATAAGATGTTATACCTAGAAACATGGCGAAAATTGATATTTTAGGGCTGTTGACAGTATTTTCCGATTTATGGAGTGATCAAAAGAGATATCCAAAATCCCTTCAGTAAAAGCCTTAGATACTAATATGACTACAAAATGAAACGAGAATTTTGAACCTGGCTTTATCCAAAGTTCAGATTTCGGTTCCTGAAATGTGTTAAAATATGCGCAAATTTAATGAGATAATGGCTCATTTGCATATTCAGAAAACTTATAATATAAGAAACTATTGCCTTATTATAGGTAATTAACTGGAGAAATTACCCTATTCACCTGGGGTGTCTCGCCTTAACTTTAATAAACCATTAGCCTATAGACCTTAGCAACAGCTGCACATGCCCACATGCTAACTATGGGTCTTACAAACCTACATAACATAACAAATAGTCAGAAAATATTATTTACAATATTAATAAAACTATGAATTCAATTGTAACTGATTGACAAGGCAAAACACTGCACAGCGGCAGCAGCATTAAAGGAAACATATCGTCTTACCTTGTGTTGGGGCTTCACAAAACTCCAAATGTATCCTGGGGTGGCACTAATGAAGACCCTCATTAGAGCAGATACATCCACATTGTTCAAAATGTTACTATGGACATGCATTAAAGTCAGATGTGTCAGTCTCTTCTGTGTCATATTACTCTAGTTGTAGAGGTGGTGGGCTGAGGAGTCCACTCTTTTTATTGCGTTGTTTGTTGGAGAACAAAATCCAAAATCCTTTTTTGCGCCATTCTAGAAAGTTGTCACTCTGCAGTGTGTGTGTCGCGTCAATTACGTCACTCTCCCACGACCTACGACCTAGATGAATCGGATTTTATTTATTTGGAAAATAAATTCAAGCCACCTGATATATACAAATATATACTATGACTATTATATGCTACTGTATACAGCTAATTTTATTTTAAGTAAAATCATAACTATTTTATGTAGTTTAATCATTTTTATTTAGGTGGTCACTCAGTTTTTCAAATGTACACCACTTGCCAA